GGAGCTCCTATTTTATCCACAGTCACATTACTCAAAGATCAATAGTTCCTCACCTCAGAGGAATCCAAGTTGACTTTGGCCTAGAGAACTCTTGTCTTAGCATGAAATCAAGGGAGCAAGACTACACCTTCTGAGGAAGCCCTTATGCTGCTAGCAGTAATAAGTGGAAAGTCCCTGGACTTCCCTCCCAGCAAATGTGGCACCAGTTGCCTAGTCTGGAGGCCAGGAGGCACTGAAGCCCATCTCAAAACAACCCTTTCTTATTGGCATAGGATTCTCTCATCTCAAACAATGTACATTTTTTACAACAGACAATTCTCTCCATTTCCCAAAGGCAAATCAACTCAATACCATTGTCTCCCACCTTCTTGGGTGTGTATACCATCTAATTCTCATTAGCTGTTAATGACAAGTGTCTCTCCTCTTGAAAGTCAGTCCTTTAAATTTTAGATTCTGCAGTGGCCTTGTGTGTTTTCTTCCCCACACTGCTGCACTTCATGAGAGGCATGCCCGGGTTCCTCACCGTCCCCTTCTCTTCTCACTCCACACCTTCCCATGGTCTCAATTATCTTCTGTAGGCTGACTACTCCCACATCCAAATCTCTATGCAAAGCCACTCTGAATTCTAGACCTCTCTAGTGAACACTTTTGACGCGAGCATCCCACAGACACTCAACACTCAAAAATCAAGTTCAAAATTGTATGTATTGAGTAGCTATTCCTCATTCTGGTCTTTTGACTCTGTGAATGGAATTAATGTACACTCAGCATCCAGCTTTACCTCCTAGATACAAATCTTCTCTCTCCTTCACCATCCACATCTATTCACCACATCCCAGACTCTTCATTCTATTAATGTTTCATATCATCCTGCATCTCTCCATTTCCACCACGACTTTCTTAGTAGTTATCATCTGCCTGTTGGATGGTTTATTGCAACAAGTTCTTAAACCACTATCGTCACTCTTACCCCATCCCCACCCCATCATTCTTCATGTATTAAATCCAATATGCTGGGTTACCATCATTTCTCTTTAAGTTCTCATATCGGTAGAATATGGAGGATACCAATGATTAATCAAACTAATGCACAAAAATTCACTGGGCTCCCCTTCTTTTATCCCATGACTCCATTGCATTTCCACACTATAGCCAGAGCTCTTTCTAAAGTGTAAAGGTACAGCATGTTCTTGCTTAAAACTCTTCACTGATGCCCTCTTGTTTTAAAGACAAGTTCATCCTCCTCAGTATCTTCTGAGGCCCTTTATGATCTGGCACCTGATTGCTTCCTATTATGAACTGAATTGTTTCCTCTCCCCTAGATTCATACCTTGAAGTCCTAACCCCCAGTACCTCAGAATATGGGGTCTTTTCAGAGGTGATCAAGTTAAAAATGAGGTCCTTTGGGTGTGTACTAATCCAATATGACCAATGTCCTTATAAAAAAAAGAAAATTTGGGTATGGAGACAGACATGCACAGAGGGAAGATAATGTAAAGACACAGGGAGAATGCCTCGTGAGCATGAAGGTGGCTGCATGCCAAGGAGAGAGGCTTGGAGCTTATCTGTCCCTCATGACCTTCACAAGGAACCTCCCCCACCAACCCCTTGATTTTGGACTTACAGCCTCAGGCAATAACCTTTAACCCCCCCAGTTTGTGCTGCTTTGTTTCAGCAGCCCCAGCAAACTAAAACAGCTCCCAGCTTCCTCTCCAACCCTGCCCACACATTCATCCCCAACTTTCCTGTCTCCTCGCTCTCATTTCTAGCCATCCTGAACTTCTTGCATCCCCCAGAACATGGAAAATTCCCCTTTATCTCCAGCCCTTGGCATGGGCCGCTCCCTCTGGAAGGCTCTTTTCCTCAGCATTTGCCTGGCTACCTCCTATGTCACTAATATCTTGGCTTAGTGAGCTCTGGAGAGTTGACCATCCTCCTTACCCAAGCTTTTATTAAATGATCTTCCTGTAGCACATAACACATGGGAGCAATATTCACTTACCCCCTCTAGGCACTTACCAAACTATGTTGTCCATTCCTTATTCACTTGTTTGTGCCCTTCACTAGATGACAAACTTCTTGGAAACAGGTGCTGTGTCCTAGAAATCTCCAGTTTGTGCCTTTTCACCTTTGTCCCTTTGGTAAGAGCACACCAATACTCCTGCAGAAAATCTCACCTTCTCTATTGTCAGTCCATGTGATTCAAATGAAGAGGGGAACCAGGCCCTCTGAATGAATCTGTACCTCCTTCTTGTGGTCACAGAGGACAGGACCTCTGAGAGATAGCCGGGAAACCTCTGCTAAGACTCTTAGCAATAAGAACCCCTCTTTTTGCTGCAATTGCTAGTCTGGCAGGAGGGACACCCACGAGCTTCTTGCTTCTACATCGGGAGAGCCCACCAGAAAGTAAGGCCAGAGCAGGGAAGGCAGAACCACGGCACAGAGCAAGCAAGGTCAGTTCTACTCTAAACGAGGGCTTAGAACTACACTCCTGCGCTCTTTTCACAAAATCTCAGCTCCTGTATGTGGTTTATATATTCATTGATGAGAAAATGGCAGTCAGGAATAAATTTAGGAGAGAAAAGCAGATAAAAACAGGGTCTTACCTGGGGAGTTTCTGCATATCGTGTGAGTCATCTTAATGCTCAGTTCATTCTCTATTACTGTTCAGTTTGCTCAGGTGCTAAGCTAACAAAAACATTGGGTTGGCTGAGTCATGTGTATGCATGTGTATTTTAGTAGCTTATCTGTAACTTGAAAGTCTGTTTCTTTATCACCAAAGTCTGAATTGTATTAGTATCACCAGTGGTAAGTGTGGGTAATATGTGTTGGTTTGAGTCAGGGACTTTGGAAATAAGTAACGTCTGACCACTGGCTCTAACATTTATTTGATGTGTAACTTTAAGCAATTTACTTAGCCTCTTGAACCTGAGTTTCCTCATATGTAAAATGGGGATAATCATAGTATTGCTTCAAGGGGTCCCTGTGGGGATACAATGAAATAACACATGAAAAGGGCATAGGACAGTGCCTGGTACATTATATAGTCAAGAAAAAAAGCTTACATGTCTTTTTAAAATAAACATTTTATTTAAAAATATATCTATATATATTTCTTTTTTTAAAAAAAGAACACATGCCCACTTTGGTATTTTAGCCATTGCTTCTTTTCTGTTCCTGGTAGCCGACATTTCTTTCTGGTTATGTACAGTTGAGCAAAGGAGACCAACGTGAAAACCCCCACACACAGGGTTCCCCCCAGAGATAGGCTGGCTTCTCTGATTTCTTTACAAAGTGTCTCTGTGTGTTTCACCAGGGAGGATTTCAAGCCCCCAACAAAGTACTGCCCCCTTTCCTCACGGACTGCCCACTGGAGAGGAATTCTGGGGAGCAGTGTGGCTTCCCTTCCTTTGGAAAACACTAGAATAGCATCCTGGATCCCTGTCACTATTCTGCTGTTTTCCTGAAAATGACGAGGCTTTCAACCATCTATAGAGGAAACTCACACATGTCAGCAGGGTCCACGATGGGAGCAGGTGGTTAAAATAAGCTCAAGAGACATTCAGGAGTTGGTTTGACTTAATCCACAGGGGGAATCACCAAATCCTAGAATCAGAAGGGAACTTACTCGTCTGTTCGTGAACCCAATGAGTCCTATTACAATTTCCCTGGCAGACAGATGATAGGGAAGGGCTTCCATGGATTCTAGAGTCAAACCCAGCTCCTTAACACGATCTGTGCAGCAATCAGAACTGTAGGACCTTCTTGCTCCAGGACCCAGACTCTGTGTGCCTGGAAATATCATCTGTGTAATAAAACATTAGCAATTTCAGCATCTGAACCACCCTGCTTTTTTATAGGAAAATGAAGACCCCAGGCTCTTTTCATTCCATGTTCTCTCACATCTGATAGCAGCTTTGTGCCAGCATTTGTGGCCTTAGCACTGTGAGGAATGTAGCCAAGGCCAGAAAGCCAGTGTCTTCCCAACTCTGCAGCTTTCCTCCTAAGGGACGGGGCTCACCACAGACACCTCCTCCCCAGCAAGTGTCCTTTTTGTCAAGAGAACTTGTTATGAAGATCAAAGATGGGGCAGTGGGACAAAGAAAATGTTTCCTTCACCCTTCCCTGATTTTCATAGGGCTTCTGCATCTGGCCATGAAAACAAACCCTATGGCTCTCCCAGATGTTCTAAGTGGTGGGAGATATTGACAGATCTCCAAGGGATATACTGCTACTGTTTGATCACAGAGACAAAGAAAAATGTAAGCGTGGGTGACAGCTTTTAGTTAAAAAGGAGCCCTCCACTCTCCCTGCCAGAAAAAACAAAGACACTTTAAAAAATCACAGTTAAAGGGTTTCTGGCTTGAGGACTGGAAGATCCCCAGTGCTCTTGCTTATAGGACTTGCAACTTCCTGGTCACTCAAAATCTGAACTGCCTGTCCTGAGTCAATTGGGTATTGGTTACCTGGGGACTCGCATACTGTACATGTACAGGGTAGACATCATGTAATTATCCACTGGATGATACATTTCGTGTGGCAGTTTTCAGCCAGGTCAGCATTTGTTTCTAGAAGAGCTGAGGGAGTTTAAATGTTCTTTTGAAAGGACTTTCTTGAATGCTTGGGATAGGTTTTTGACTCTTTTTTTTTTCTTTCCAGATTGTATAGAAATGTTTCCAAATGGCAAAAGCTGCCAGTTGACAGTAACTATTCAGGTGGAGACTTCATTTCCTCATTTACTGGCGTAATCATTGCATTGTAAAGACTGGGTTCTCATGAACTTTAGTGACTCCCTTTCCATAATGCAGTGTCTTAGCTGTAACTGAAAGGTTCACAGATCTGGAAGTTGGTACCTCCCTCCCTCCCTCCATCTCTTTCTTTCCCTTCCTTCCTTCCTTTCTCCTTTCTTTCTCTTTTCTGTCTCTTCTTTTTCTCTTTTCCTTTCCCTTCCTTCCTTCCTCCCTCCCTCCCTCCCTCCCTCCCTCCTTTCCTTCCTTTTCTTTCTTTCCTTTTTCTTTCCCTCTTTCCTTCTTTCCTTTCTTTTCTTTTCTTCCTTTCTCTCTTTCTCTTTCTCTCTTTCTTTCAGTCCTCCTTCTCTTCCCTTTATAATAGAATGTGTGTCATCGCATTAACATTGCTAGAAGCAGGGCGCACAGTGAGCCCTGGATTAACGGAAGCCTTTGCACACATGGATTTTCTGACCCTGTTGGGTAAGTCTGACCCCATGAAACTGCAGCAGCACTGGGGATGGCTGCAAACATCTGCAAGTCTGCTGCACCACGGGGGTTCCAGGAGCCTTCAGAAAACTCCACGTGGTTATTTTCAGCTCTAAGAGCATTAAGGAACTCAAATGTGGACATGTTCATAAGCCTCTGTACACCTCTTAGTCATGCCCAATTTATCCCTGGAAAAGAGGATACAACTAAAAGAACTTAAAATAAAAGTACCTAGTAGGAGACAGATGAGTTGACATGGATTATTTGACCCACCAGGAGTAGCCAACTTCATCAATTATCCCATTTTATCCTGCAAATCCCATATCGGACCTATGAAGAGACAGAGTGAATAGAATGGAAACTGTGAGGGGAGGTCAAGACCAATAATCTGGGAGTCTGCTCTGTGGTGTGTTGGTTTGCAATAGCAAATACACCTTGTCAGCTATGAGGCATGTATACCAGTGCCTGGTAATAGCCTAAAAATATCCCAGTGAAAATACACAGCCTTACAATGTACAGAGGCCTCCTAACCAAGTCTACCCAAAGGGAACAATAATTAACATTCAGACCAGAGGCTCAGAGTAGGAACACTGTGAGTTTGTTTTCCAAAGGAAGTTAAGGAGGGGAAAAATGACATACAAATTGTACAACGTGGCACATAAAAAATGCACTGACCAGCCAGCTTTGTCGAGATCCAAATTAAACTTCCACAGCTGAGGAACAGCAAATGTGAGGAATGTGTTACTAAGGTTTTCTCCCCCATAGCTTCACCTTCAAAGAAAAGATTGGTGATTTTCCCCTCTAGGTTTTTGGTTCTGATGACTGACATGAAAGGAAAATGAAAAATTTACCACGTGGCTCTTTTAAAACACAACTGATTGAGGAATGTAAAGCGATTTTCATGTTCTTTTTACACTCTTCTACGGGAGACTCTATTTCCTTTTCCAGCTATTGATGCTGTAGCTGTTCCGTCTTCTCCCATCCACATTCATTGTCAAGATGAGCTTTTCACGGTAAGCAAGTGTCTGTGAGTCATTGGGCTGGAGCCATTAGTCACACACAGAGAGGCAATGTGTAGTCTGGTTGATTAATCAGGAACTTGTAGTGAGAAAGGCCAAGTATCATTTCACAGCAAATTGAAAGGCTTTTGGTATAGAACTCTGAACACTGCTTTTCAAGATACACACACATACACATATGTGTATGTATATATACATAAGCATGTATATACACACATATCTGCATACACACATACATGTGTATATATCTGTACACATATGCATGTATGTGTGTGTGCGTGTATTCTGTGTGTATGTATTCTGTTCCCACCTCCCCAGTAAGATCTGACAGCTTTCAGAGTAGCAGTCACCCAAAACACTCTGTGTTCACACATGTTTACAAGTTAACAATGGAATGACTTCTAAATCTCTGGTTTATCCAAAAGAGAACTTCTAAAATCACAATATTTTTGGTTATCTTCTCCATAAGTGCACAGTGAACATTTTTTACAAACAAAGAAAACAGTGCCTTAGTGATTTAAATTAAAAAAAAAAAACAAATAGCAGTAGCTACTTTCCACAGCATGCAACACTATAAAACAGTAAATGGGAGCCATGAGAGGCTTCAAGAGACTGTCCTGCATTTTAGTTTTTCAACTCCCAGCAAAAGCACAAAGCTAATGAGGAATGCACATGAGCCCATCATCTTTTTCTTCCATCGTTCCAATGGGTGGTTGTATTTTCTTTCAGAAACCCAGACCTAAAATACTCTTTGTGAATATAATTCATGTTTACCTTTACAATAGCATGATTTCCAATTTCTCCAGAACAACCCAAAGCCATGGTTATCATGGATCACATGGGGGTGGAATGAGCTTTGTGTCTGATGGCCAAGTCACCATTTTTTTCCTAAAGACATTCTTAAGACTTCCTTTTGCAGCAAATTATACATATGGAGAATGAGTTCTCCAGGAGAACCTGGATTTTTAGCTTTTTAAAGTATGGCTTTATTAGGAGTATGGCAGCTTGTTAGATTTGAGAAGTCCTCTTCTCCCAGTGTTGGGGCAGAAAAAGAAAGGTCTTCAAAAGAGGAGGAGAAAAAGAAAAAAAAGAGGAGGAGAAAGGATTGGTATCTTGAAAGAAAAGTAGAGTGGGGGAAAGATAAACTGGAGGATCCTCCCACCCCCACCCAAATAAGATAACAAAAAGAGAAGTTGGACCACCATAAATAAAAATCCTGTTACAGTAACCCATGGTATTTATTCCCACGATAAGTGAAAGATGTTCTCTGGTTCTGATTCTCCCTGGCATGGCTTCCTGAAGGTAGAGAGAGCCTTCTGATCTGCTTACCTGATCATCTCTACTCTTTGAAACTAAAGGGTTGTATTAGAGAACAATGGCAGGAGGGGTGTTTGTTTTTGTTTGCTTTAAGGTTCTCTCCTGTTTCACAATGCTTATCACCAGAGAGACAGCAGGAGTGATTCAACTACTGATGGAGAAGGAGGGAAATTGTGGGTGGGGTTCTTTGGACCAAATGTAGGTCAATTGTTCTCAGTGACCACGGCAGAGTCCTGGGAACCACGGGGGGGCGGGGGGGCACCTTGGAGGCCAAGTGACACTGAGCTGGTTTCACTTCCCTGGGAATGGATTTTGCTTTCCAAATAGCACGAACAGAGAGCTACGGAGCAGCCTCGACGAGGAGTGTGCCTTCCCATACCTCTGATGGACTGACTTCCCTGGACTCCCAAAAGAGCCTGCATTTTCTTTCCACAGTATGTCCAATAAATTCACAAGAAAAGGTTACACTGTGAGATTATGCCTCAACAGTGCCTGAAAAAAATTATGGGCTAGGAAAAATACCAGTGTTTGAAAAGGCAGTGAAAGAATTATGACTATTTTTTGGCATTCTTGATCTGAGAAAGCACATTTTTGAGTGCACTGCTGAAATCATTAACAGTCACTGAATGTTGGTAAATATTACATTTTATATATACAAAGACACCTATTTGTTCTTGATGGTCTAGAACTCTCCATCGCTTTTGAATTCTCTCCTCCTTTTCCTTTTTTCGAATGGAAGTGTTTGGGGCATGTGCTTTCCCCCATGGAGGTCCTTGCATCAGGGCGACTACCTCTACCACTGCTGTAGGTGAAGGTCCATGGGGGAATTCAAATTGAGATCCGTGACGTCCAGGAAGTCGATGTTAAAAATGCTGTTGCTGCTGGCGGCGAGGGAGCCGAAGCTTGGTGTGGAGCTCGGTGGAGTGAGGTCCAGCCACTCCATGGTTTCCCAGGGGGATTCTGTGAAGCTTAACTGCAGCCCACTGCTGTCCACAGAGGAGGGTGGAAAGTGCGTCTGCATCGGGGACAGAGGGCCCGGCAGGATCTCATGCGCGGTGAAGAGGTCTTCGGCGGCCTTCCCAGAAAATCCATCCATCATCCCCTCGAAAGCAGGTTCCTCACTCCCGATTTTTAGGAGGGCAGCATCGCTCACCTTTCCTAGGGGGCTCTGGGAATTCAGTAAGACCTCCAGGTGCTCGTCGCCGTCGGGGTTGTAGTGATGGAAGGGCAGCTGGCCTCCCGGAGAGGCTTGTTCGAAAGCAGCCGAGGGCGGGGTGAGGGCGGCCGTAGGGCTTCCGGAAGACCCGGGCATCTTCGGGACTTTCTGAAGGCATGAATGACCGTCTTTGGCATCAGCCGGCATTTCTGTTGGTAAGACACAACAGGGATTGTTGATCGCTTCAGGACGCGAGCACAGACCAGGGAGCCACTAGGCTTCTCTGATCACTGCTCATCCCCCTCTCCATCTGTCCTCAGTTTTCCCTGCCCACCAAACCCTTTCTGGAAATTCCACTCTGATGATCTGTCTCACAGCAGATTCCTACTTGCTCTTTTAGTGACACATGGCTGTCCCCCTGGGACACTGAACCCTCCCTTACACACTCAGCAGGAGTCCATTTACTTCAGAGCCAGAAGTAAGTCACCAGGTGCCACCCTGTGGCACTTTCCAACTGCCATTTCTGCTCCTTGAACTGCTTAGTGATTTGGGCTGTTGTGCTGGCCCCATCAGTGGGAAGTATTCCCCAGTCCACGGCTTTTTCCCACTTCAACTCTTGTCATCTCTGTGATTTCAGCATCCTGAGAAGAGACCCATTGCCCCACTGGCCTCTCGGTCCCTTGACACCCCACCCCTCCCAGTGGCTGCTCCATCACCACGCTGTCAGACACACCCTGGACTTGTCATCCCCCATCACCACATCCCTCTGAAAGCTCAATGCAAGAAAAATTTCCCACTCTTCGTCCATCCTGTCCCATTCCTCTAGCTCATTTACTAAGCACCCCACAATTTCTCAGTCTCTTGGAGTCACTCAATCTGTTGACCCAAACATTTTATCGCCCTCCTTCAGCCCCTTCCAGTTTGCACATCTCTTCTTGTCCAATCTATATTCGCTGATCCACCATTATAATTACTTTTATAAACATTCTCAATCCCTTTGCTATTTTCTATTTACACCAGATGCACTTGGCAAAACCCTACCCCTGGATGAATCCTCTCATCTGTTTTCTCTGAGCCTGCTCTGGACTGACAGAAAAATTACACAATGCAGCTGTTTCACTTTAAATTCATGATGTCAAGCCTGTAATTGGCACTTAGTACACCTAACAATCCTACTATTCCTCCAGAAAACTACATTCACTCATGACTGATTCATTACTGCTCTTTCCTCGAATCTCCGGGATCCCTTCCTGTGCCTTCAGTCTCTGCTGACCTTTTCATATACTTCATTACAAACACAAGGGTGTCAAATATTAACCCTCTCATCTTCCCATTACAAGACTTACAAAGGTACATACACCAGTGCCCATGTTTTCCTTCTGCCCTATCCACTTGCTTGGTACCCATCTCCCTTACCACATGCCTAACTCCATAAAGGTGGCCACTTTGGTGCAGCACTGAGCTGAGTAGGATTCCTGGCCACTTCTCTGAAATGTTAAATGTTACTTAAGGGCTCAGACCTGAGTCTTTTCTTTCTATCTACATGTTCTCCCTACATGATCTTATTTGTTTGTGTGGTTTCAAATGCTAGGTGTGGATTATGTGATTTTTAAAAAATTAATGAATGACTTAAAAGGAGGCAAAAAGAATATGTTGATCAATTTTTATTGCTAGCTTGAATGACATTCAACATGAATGGACCATCCGGGGGAGATTACTGAGTTTCATTTTGAGTAAGTAGTGCAAAATTTCCTTATATTCTTTATCGTTCTTACAATTAAGAAGATAGGGACATTGGGGTTAGAACCATAGAGAAACGTGGTGTAGCAAGGAAAAACATTTTACGGAAATCAGGAACTGAATCAAAAGATGAAAACTGTTGAAATGAGTGGTAGAAAATGTTCCTAGGACAAGGGAACTCAGGCAGGGAGGAGTCATCCACTATGCCTTCTTGTGCCTGCTCCAAACACCAGAAGACAGGAAGCTCAGACAAAGTGAGACTCTACCTTAGACAGCATTTTGATCTAAGTTACAGTGAGCATCTGACATTGGTACTAAGAGTTCACCCCCAGAGTCCGTGCCGGAGCCAAGGATGGGCAAAGCAAAGGCCGTCTTACCTCCGCTTTCAATGAGGACATCCAGAAGTTCATCCATCTGCTGACTCCGGGTCATTTGCTAGTGCAAATTAACCAAAGAAGAACAGAGACATTACAAGGTGGCGGCCTCTCCTGTTGGAGATCATTAGAAGCAGCACCACAAGTTTCTGTATGAGGTTTGATTAGGGTTTGTTTTTGTTTTTAATTGTAGCAAAATACACTCAACATCAAAGTTACCATCTTAACCATTTTAAGTGTTTGGTTCATTGGCATTAAGTACATTCACATTGTTGTGCAAACATCACCACCATCCATCTCGAGAACATTTTCATCTCACAAAACTGAAACTCCATGCCCATTACACTCTAATTGCACATTTTCCTCCCTCCAGGCCCTGACAACTACCATTCTGTGCTCTGTCTCTTTGAATTGGATCACTCTTGGTACCTCATATAAGTAGAATCACACAATATCCTTTCATGACCAGCTTATTTGTGACTGGCTTAAAGTGTTCAAGGTTCATGCATGTTGTAACATGTCAGAACTTACTTCTTTTTTAAGGCTGAATAATATTCATTGCATGTATATACCATGTTTTGTGTATCATCTATCAATAGACACTTGGGTTGCTTCCATCTTTTGGCTTTTGTTAATAATGCTGCTATGAACATGGCTAGAGGTTAATCTATGATTAAAGCTCAGTATTAATTTTAGACTGGAAAACTACTGACTGAAACAATGTACTGTGACAAGAGAAGGGAAGAAGGCAGACTGTTCCTCTGCACAGAGTCCTTCAGACACAGCTGAGTCATTTGACAGGGTTCCCTCCCAGGAGCAGTTCACCTTAATGCATGGATAGTGCGGCCTGCCTTGGACCTGCCTCCTGCCTGGGAGCTGTGCATGTGACCAAGAACACACTCATCCTTCTCGGGTTCCTCACTGCAATAGCCTGTGGAATACGTTGCTCCTTGGAGGGTACACACCCCTCCACGGAGCTCATCTGAGTTGCCCAGTAGGCTCTTGTTTATAGGAGTCCACTTTACTTAGCTTTTTTCCTTCCTTTTGAAACCGTGAAGGATCAGTTGATGTTTTACAGATACCATGGGAAGGACATGGGGAGAATAGTGGCATCCACCTCACTCCTCTGAGAGCCCAATTCCAGTAAACCCAGGCATCAGTAACCAGTAGGGATGGGAGCACTGCTCATTTTGCCTGTCTAGAAGGCATTAAATGCCTAGAGGATCTGGCAGGTAATGCAAATGAGCCAAAGACAGAGCAAAAGAAAGGGCTGGAGTGTATAGCATATGCTGTGGCTTAAGCACACAGTGGGTACTTTGTTTTAGGCAATTGTTGTCTGGCAGAAATGTGGCTCTACGGTGACCAGACCTTCTGATTTTTCAGAAATAAGAAAGCTCACTTTTCACATTCAATCTCATCTTTAAAATACTCTTTAAGCCAATAAAACCTAAGTGCAGGCTGACTTTGCTCTGTGGGATACCAGTGTGCAGCAACTAGGTAGATTCCTTTTGGGTTGAGCACATAGGAAGGACCATCTGATACTTTATCCAAGTCCAGACCATATGAGACATAAGCTCTTTGATTGCTTTTCTTTTTTTTTTTACTTCTTACTTGGAACATTTCCAAACATAAATGAGAGTACACAGGGAGTCTCCATTAGTACCCAGCTTCAACAACCATCAATATTTTGCCAGGATCATTGATTTCGAAGCTAGGAAGAACTTTAGAAAGCATTACCCTGACAACTGCTCTCATATATTTGAGTCCTGATCCTATGCTCGGACAATGAGGGAAGTGCTACATTATCTAGAATCATTACAAAGCAGTTATTGGCCCTATTTCATGTAAGAGAAGTCGAGCACTCGCCCAGTCTTTGTGGCAGTAGTACCTGGCTGGTGGCAGAGCCGGAACTTAATGCAGGCATCTGGGTGTGCAGCCCAGTCTCTTCTCTCCCTGCCTCGCACAGCTTCTTTACACATGCAACACCTTTCTACAATTAGCATCTAGACGCTTTGCCCATTCGGGTTGGGTGGGGGGGGGACACCAGATGCACTCAATATCAGATCCTACAAACTGCCTGAAGCCGAATAATGTAAACCGCTGTGCACTTAATCAGTCTATTCTACAAAGAACAAATCATGCGGGTACCTGCTTTACTGCATCCTCGTAGGATGGAGGCTGTGTTATCTCTGAAACTGCCGACGTTGACTTAGAAAACGTGGGGGATGGCATTGAAAACTTGGGCCCTGCCTTTTCAGAAGCATGTAGACCAGCCATCTGTGTGAGTAAAGTGCAGAGAAAGACAATCAATTCAGGGGGCAGAAATAGTCCTACTTCTGTTTTAGAGATGACAGGCTAAATTTTGGAAAAATCGGTGTAAGGGGAAAAAACCTACGAGAGCTAAGCTATGTATTAACAATAGTGCATAGCACGATGTACTTATTGCTGGAGGCAGCTTAGGATGAGAAGCTCCCAGATTCATTTCCCCCACCTAGGTGCACCCCTCTGTGAGGAGAAAGCAAGATGAGAGAAGGAAATAAAGTCAAAGAATCCAAAGAAGCCCATCAAGCCAGGACTTTTCAGAGTGACACACACCTCAGGCCACTTCATTCCTGAGTGGTGTGCTTGCGGAACTGGAGGCGCTCATGTGATTCATTCCTGCGCACTGTGAGTGTCTTCTGCGCAGCACCTGGGCCATGTCAGGGTCTCTGTCCCCAAAGGACACCCTGCCCTGGCTGGCACCAGGTGGCACTTTTGTATCCCAGCCATCTTATGGTTGTCTCCTTTTCATCACGTGTCATTAGTCCCAGGGACTCCTATATCCTGGCTTGTTCATATCCTCTGCTCTTCCACCTGTGGCAGTGTATCAGCTCTTCCTTTATCCAGAGATCTTGCCCTGGGACCCCAGCTCTCTGCACCTCTCCGGACCTTTCCACCGATCCATGTACTTCCCTCTTTCTCCAGCATTATTTTTCCACATGCGCCTATTCCAATATTCAACTCCACTGAAACTGATTTGTTTGCCTGTTGTTTTGGTCATGATGATATCTGGCATGATCCCAGGAGATGACTCCTTGGAATGCCCTAATTGTTTCTGTACATCTATTTCAGTCCTTTTTGAGTGGACTTGTTTCTTTCTAAAATACCATTTATTTCTGCCTTCTAAGCTCACCATTTGGAGGACATGGGCCACAGATGAAAGAAGAGGCAAAGTCAACCCAAGTTTAAACCTTTTCCCAGGCGCCTACCTTTTGCTGCACACCTGGGCTTTTGGGGCAAGGGTTGCCCCCAGCACCATGACTGCTGTCTGCCTGGGCTCCAGAGAAAGGTGGGTGGAGGCTGGAAGGCTGGGGAGAGAAGCTTGGAGGATGGCCCTCGTGTGCCCCTGAGTTCTGTAGGAAGGAAGATGTGACACATTGAATGGCCACCGGCAGCATACGTGAGAACAGCCTTTGCTGAAAATGCTGGCTTGTCTTTTCAGACCTCCCTGAGTTCCATTACCAAAGTCTCAGATCTAGCTTTGTGCATATCAACTGCTGCTCAAACCCTTGCATGGCTTCCACATGGCCACAGCACAGGGTCTCCACTTCTAACCAGGACAGATGTTCAAGACCTTCCACAGTCAAGTACTGTTTCCTTCTACAAGCTTGTGTTCTTTCAAGGCCCCCACGAACTTCCCTCAGCAGGCCCTCTACATTCTACCTCCCTATCTTTTTTCACATGGAATGCCCTTTCCTGACCCTCCTTGTTTAAATCCAAACTTTGTCCAATGCCTTTGGAAAGCCTTCCGGCACTTATCTAGCCCTCCATGATCCATATCCTCCCACCCCTTCCCCAGCGCTTTGTGTAGCATTTAATGCCATAAGCACAGACTGTTAGTTATTCTATATTGCCCTTTATCTCATCTTTTTATCATGTCATCATTGCTGTCTTCAAATATCACTGTACAAGGCTTACATCTTCTTGAGTGTAGCATTATCATGAGAAATGAATGTATTATGGTCCAGTGCTATGCTCCAAGGGCTATTTTTACCTTTGTTCTTTATGACTCTATGTGTTCAATATGTGTTGTCAACGATGATAACGATCAGTGCCACCTCCTCCCAGAGAGCCCACTCAGGAGCGGGCATCACTTGGTGAATGTTGCTTTGGTAGGTTTGTAACTGTTACTCTCATTACCTCTGACCACACCCCATACTCCCAGGTACTGCATATCCAGTGAGCAAAGCTGTGTGCTTTAGAATCAGACAGTCTTGGGTTCCTGTGATACCAGGCAACTGCTTTAACCTCTTGGAGCCCCATTTTCCTCAGTGGCAAATAAAGATTAATGAATTGAAGGTCATAAGGCCATTGTGATGACATGATTATTCAGACACATGCCTCTTTATACTTGCCACATGGCAGGTGTCCAATTAATATGACTTTTCTTCCTATTCCCTTTCACATAATACAGATTCCAGAAGCTTTTGGGAATTAATTTCCTTTTTCAGATAGACTCAAAGAGACTTTCCTAATGATTCCTCAGAGCTTTGTGGACAAAGGAGAGTCTCTGGTGACCAACTTCCTTGGTCTAGTGTTTAAGCAGGTGTTCCACTAAGCCATCCTTTTCTCCATAAGTTGTACCATCTTCTAAGACATTATGTATTTTACCTGTTTACTTAATGTCTGTCTTCCCACAAGAATAGGGATTTTGAGTTGGCTAGTTCAGTAATAATCCCCAGAGGCTAGAGCAGGGCCTAGCACACAGTAGGTTCCCATTAAACATTTGCACCATTGAGACCATTACACCAAGAGAACAGTAGGGTCTGGTAACTCCCCCTTTGGCTTTCTTGATGAACTGCTTTGGCCTATGCTAAGGCTTTATGCCAAACAGTCCTGAAAACGGGTTGGCAATCGGGCCCATTGCCTGTTTGTACCAATAAAGCTTTATTGAAACACGGCCATGTGCGTTCATTTACAAGTTGTCTGTGTCTGAGTTTGTGGAGTTGAGTAGTTGTGAGAGATACCATATGGCCTGCAAAGCCAGAATATTCATTATCTAGCCCTTTCCAGAACATGTTTGCCAACCCCAGTCTCAGAGAAGCAAGTCTGATCTCCTGCAGAGGCTTGCAGATCTGGAGTCTGGGAGTTGCTGTTGGGCCTTTGATAAACCCTTCCCATTAAAGGTTCCAACGTCTGCTCTTTAGCAGTCACAAATCCTCATCCCACTTGCAGAAGGAGGGGTGTGCTGGGCGTGGGACAAGGAGTGCTTACCTGTGCAGTACACACCTGGCTGCTTACAGGTGAGGAGACCCTGTGCCCTTCTCCTGGAGCGCCTGATGATGAGGGGAGGAAGTAATGGTTGTTCGGCGATGGGGGCAAACTGATATGCTGCGGGCTTTTCACAGCCCCCAGAGGCGAATGCTGGGGAGAGCACTGCGGGCTGAGGAATGTGGAAGAAAGTACGTTGGTCTGACCTGAGGACTCCCCGCAGTGAGTATTCCCAAGAGGCAGGAGGTGAGCCGCTTCACAAGCCGGCGGCTGGCCCTCGGAGCTGTGGCTCTGTCTTTTCACAGGTACTGGCTGGGATGCAAAAGGGCAGCTGGAGATGGCGTCTTCCTGCTTGATGGCGGCAGCCAAGAAGGGCAGCGGCTTCTTCTCAGAGCAGTTGCTCCTTTTCTGCTTCTGCAGCTGCATCCTCAGCTCCTCCACCTGCCTTTGCTCCTGCTGGAGTTTCCAGGTGAGCTCGTTGATCACCTTCTGCTTCTCCACCAGCATCTTGTCCTTCTCGGAGTCCAGCCCGTCCAGCTCGGCGGGCAGAGCACCCGCAGTCAGCAGGCTTTCGTCGGTGCACACGTGCACTGGGGATGGGTGCAGGCCAAAGGAGGGCGACGCGTCATGGAAGGTGTCGGGCAGGGACCCCGCCGCCGACAGGTCGGACGAGGTGGGCGAGATCGGGGGGCTGGAGCTGGTGCTGCCCAAGTGGTAGAAGCCGTTAGACAGACCACTGGTGGGAGGGGAGGCCTGGTAACTGGGCAGCGTGCTGGTGGGTGTGACGGGGAAAGTGACAGTAGTTATATCGCTGAAGTGGGACACAGGGTTCCCCGGGCAGTCCTGGAAGGGCCGCAGCCGGTCCATAAGGGCCGTCTTCGTGCCGGACACCGGCAAACCCCGTATTCGAAGCTGTTGTCTTAATTCAGAGACCTAAAGAAAGTAGGGCGTAGTTAGCAGGCTGTTCAATGACATCCTTTAAAAGATGTATTTATTACTACATTGGCTTTAGAACAGCTCAAGCAGAACTTTACCATATCCACTTCCCTTTTCAATACTCGTTGACAATTTCCTCCCCTCTCCTCCATGCAGACAAGTTTTGCACAATTTGAATGATTCTTTTAAAATTTGTCATTCTCATGTTTTCATGATCTGGGGATCATAGAAACGTAGAGCTTAAATGAACCAGAGGTCACCTAGTCTACGGCTCTCATCCCCCATCCTGGTCCTTGTCCCCATTTTATAGGTGAGAACACTGACCTCCGCCCAGGGTTTAGCCTTTAGCCTGCAGCCAGTCCTCCCAAAGCACACGGAGAAGCCAGTCTTCTGCTTCCTAGGTGAGTGTGCTCTGCCTGCCACACTCCCTCTGTCAGTGGTTCTCAAACCTGGGCCTGCCCAGGACCGGCTGTGTTAATCCAGTGTAGTAATACACACACCTTTTAAAGGTCATCGTTGAATTAGAAATGGACGGCGGAGCCCAGCTGGAGCAGTGGTTCTAGGGTGGGGCCTGAGAAGCTGCATTTGTAGCAAGTTCCCGGGAGATGCTCCTGTGGCTGGTCTGGGGACTAGTTTTTGAGAACCACAATTCTACATGAACTATTGTGTCTTTAACTTTAACAACTAGCTGGGTAATAGTCATGTTGAGAATAGTATGGGCAGAGGTAAGACCATCAGTTCAAACCCTGGTCTGACTTCTTCTGGGCTCAGTGCTCATCTGCACCTCAGTTATTCTTCTGAAAGATACAGAGAATCAGACTTACCTTGTACATTTTTCGTGAGGATTAAAGGGCTTAAAATTTGTAAGGCACTTGGAATAGCGCCTCAGAAATGGTTAGTGCATTGTAAGCCTTTACTATTTTTATTATGTTAATTTACCCATAGTTATTTCATCCCTGTATTTTTTAATAATGTTCATAAATTATAAACTACAGGTTTACATGGAAACTAATAAATGATAGTGCATACAAATGATGGAATACTTTAGATCCGTTAAAACTGATGCTATAGATATTGGCTGATATCAAATATGGAGTAATTGTTTACGGTATGTTATTAAGTGAAAAAAAGTTTGAATTCCTTGATTCTGTTTTTCTAAGACTTACATAAATGTATGTATCTATATATGACTATTTAAAACTATCCTTGCAGCTGAAAAGATCGAAAAAAGATAGGCTGAAGTATTAAGAATAGTTCTCCATATCTATGTTTCCCAAGTATTCTGCATAAGTATTTACTTTTGTAATTAATACAGGAAATATATTAAACACTTAAATGTCAATGATTCCAAAAAATAGCTACAAGAATACAGAGGATCATATTTTCTGCTATTCTGTAGGGAAAGATCTTTTGAGCAGAAAAGCAAAGAAGGTAATCATAAAACTATTGACAACAAAAATCACAAACTCAGTCCAAAACACCAAAAAGAAAATGCAAATGCAAATAGCAATCTCAGAAAAAAAATAATAGCAAGACAAAAAATAAAGTGTTAGTAAGCTCGATGTGTCAAGTGTGCTTAACAACCCAAAAGAAAAAGACCCACACCCAATATAAAACAGGTGATGGACATGATCCAACTCTTCACAAACAAAAATAAAACTTAAAAAAAATGGCTGATAATAGATTTGTATCATCATTAGTAATCTAAAAAATGGAAATAAGTAAATATTTTTGTGTTCATCAAACCAATAAAGAAATTAACAACACTTTGTTAGTGAAGGAGAGCAAAAATAAATGAATAAAAATGTTAAAAAAAAAAAAGAGCTCTTTAATACCTTGCTATTCCGAGTGTGGTCCTTGGACCAGCAGCTGAGAGAGTAATAGAAATGCAGAGTCTCAGGCCCCTCCCCACACCTGTTGAATCAGAACCTGCATTTTACCAAGAGCCCCACATGATTCAGTGGGCACATTCAAGGGTGGGGTGTGCTGTGTTAACACGCTGTTCCTGGGAACAGACTGGATACAATTTCAGGACAGAAATTTGGCAATATGTATCAAGAACTTAAAAAAATATTAGTATGTTTTGGTTCAGGACTTCCACTCCCATGTAGTTAGCCTGGGGAGATAATCAGAGAACCTAATAAATGTATGTACAAATTATATTTTTAATAGCAAAACTTTGGAAGCAAGTTACATGCCCAATAGAGGAACATTACCTAGATGGTGGAATAATATGTGCCATTACAAAAAAATGTTATTGAATATTATGTTATGAAAAATGTTCATGATGTGTTAAATAAAACAGCATGCCAGAATTTATGCTCACATAATTATTTAAAAATATGTCCCTATGCATTTTCAGTCTAGAAGGAAATATATTCTTCAACGCTATCTGTGCATCAGCTGTCTTTTACTCTTTACTTTTCTATATACATCCTATTTCCATAATGAACATATATTACTTTGCAATCAGCTTAAACTTATTTTAAAAGGATTATGATAAGCAGCAAATATACTTTCTCTCCCCTAGCCTTGCTAGCACTATTTTATCATTTTCTTTTAGATTTGCTGGTTTGAAAAGTAGAAAATGGCAACTCATTATTGTTTTAATTTTAAATTACTTAAAATTAATGAGTTCTACATTTATTTTTAGAATCTGCTCTGGCACTGAATAATTTAAACTACATTATTAAATAATGCAGCTCATATTCTAAAATAAAATGAATACTTGTTGAGTTCAGTTTACCTTAAATTTCAGAATATTATGCTGTCTGGGCTTGCTTGGGACAAAGGTTTGTATATATTTCTCTTCTAAATTTACTGGTGTTTTAATCATTGATAATGTTTTAATCCATTTATTATGAAAAATTTCAAACATACAGGAAAGGAGATAAAAAAGTGTAATGAACTCCATATACCCATCAACCTACTTGAACAATTACCAACTCATGCCCAATCTTGTTTGATTTATACCCCAAACCACTTCTTTCCCTTCATTCCCTGAATTACGTTAAAGCAAATGTAATTAATTTAACATGTAAATATTTTGGTTTCTTTCGCTAAAAGATAAGTACTTTTAAAATAAATTTAGAAACAAGACCAGTATCACACCTAAAAAAAACCCAACAGTTGTTTCTTTGTATACGTCAAATGTTTTTCCAGGGTTTAAACTCCCTGTGACAGCCCCCGGCCCCATCACAGTCTCACTCTCCCTCGCTCTCTGGCTCTCTCACTCTCTGGTTGGTTAGAACCGGGATGCAAACAAATCCATACGCTGTGATGTTACCATTTATAACATTTTCATGAGAAATCAAGCTCTCAGTGCGTTTTCCTTCTTACCTCTGTAGGAACACATGAGCATTTCTGGAAGAACCCCCTTCATTACCTTACCTTTCCTGATTACTTTTTTTTGAGGGTCACCTTCATTAATTCCTCAGATGTCTTCCTTTTCCCAAATGCGGTCCCATCATTTGCTTCTTTTGTTCCCCTTCTCTCCTCCCTTCCCTCTTCCCTCCATCCACTCTTCTCTCTCCCCTCCTTTCTTTCCTCCCACTCTCTCCATTTTGCTTTCTCTCCACATCATTCACTCTTGCGGTTTCAACCCTCCCCACTATGCAAACGTGAAATTTATGTTCCCCGTCCCTGACAACACAGGGGAGCTGGACTAGGTTGGTGTATTTCTAACTGATGGAAACTGGCTGGACTTTGTCTCTCGGTTGTCCCACTTGTACCTGACACTCGACTTTCCAGAGTGAATGAACTTGCCAGCGTCCCTCCAAACCAGCTCCTAGTTTTGTTCTCCGAATTTCTACCACTGGTGGAACTTTCCCTGGTGACCTCTCCCCATAAACTCAGTGGTCATGTGTTAAGATTTCTCCCATCGTCCCACCCTTTCCATTCTCATCTCAAATGACAATAGCAAAGCCTTTGAAATCAGCCTCTTAAGTAGAAACCACTTAGAAACTGGTTAACTTGCATCATTTAACCTCTTTAAGATCCTGATTTTGATGTTCACATTTCAAACTTACTTTGCAAGATGGAAACCTAAAGCCACTCTATATAGGACTGAGAGCTCATAGCAGAAAAATGGTAACAGCCACTATCATCACCATCTCCTAAAACCCGTGCTAATTACTGTAACTACAACCAGCCAATGTTTCTGAGCACGTGCACTTTTCAGGACTGACAGACGGCACACATCGTATCTGGACTATGTTCTCTCTGGGGCCAAGGCATCTCCAGTCTTACTTCACCCTGGCTCCCATCCAGAGGCAGAGAATTTAAAAAAAAACTCTATGTTATATGTGGTAAAAGACACATAACATAAAATGTTTCATTTAATCATTTTAGGTGCACATTTCAGCGGCATCAGCACATTCATATTGCTGTGGCAGTATCGCCGCCATCCATCTCCAGAACACTTCAGCTCAAACTGAACCTCTGTCCCCATTAAACACTCACCCCTGATCCTGCCTCCCCCAGGCCCCGGCAGCCACCATCCTTCTCTCTGTCTCTATGAATCTGACCTCTAGGTAGCTCACATGAGTGGAATCACACGGCTTTGGTCCCATTGTGTTGGGCTTATTTCACTTCGTGTGTTTTCAGGGTTACAGAGCTTACCTTTCTCTCTATGGATTCATGATCTGAGGAGTAGTGGGTGGGTGGCCCACTGCTCTGAAGAGCATTAGCCTGAGCTTGGCACGCTCTTCTGGGTTTATGGATGCCAAATTGAACCAAGCTCAATGTACTCTGAACATTTTTACTCCAAGTGGAAGGAATACAGAAACCTTTGATATCAGGACTCAAGACACATTTTTATCTACCATGTTGGTGCTTGGCAGTCATAGACTTTCCTTTAACTTGAAATAATCCTCTTCCTACCTTTACCCACAAAGATAATGACTGAGCACTGAGATGGGAATGAAGGGGAGAAAGGGCAACTGAGGAAACGCCATGAGACTGGCACAACGATGCCGACGGGGAAGCTTAAGGAGTTTAGGTTTTGGAGAAAATCGATAAGGTCCTTTGGGAAGGGGGTTGTAGTAGGTGGGTGGAAACCAGATGCACAGGTGCAGTCACTGAACATGGAGGGTGGCACTGGAGAGAGTGGGTGCGCTCACACTGAGAAGTCCAAGGCCCTGCATGTGTCTTCTTCAGCGTTTTTACAAAGACTGGATGCATGCATGTGCCAGTCCTGAGGGTGCCCCTGAAACAAGCTAGGCTCAACTCAAAAGCTCAATGTCTTCTCGGCAAACTGAGATTCATGTGGTCTGTGGCCTGGAGTAAATTGCTAGCATACATATAGTGTTTAAAGAGTTGCAGCTACAATTCAGGGCACAAGTTCTCAGATTTGGGGATGTCACTGAACAGCACATTGTTTTAGATTATATACTTGACATAGTGTTACTAACAGCTTATCTTGTTAAATAAGGACTAATATCTTATTTAATAATATCCTTATTTAGTGAAGAGACATAATACCCTACCAGAAACATTCTACTTCCATCCAGTACCGTCACCATTTCTTCATGGAAAGGATCTTTTAGCATTCGAAACATTGGAAGGAAATCAATACTTTGAGAAAAGATTAGTTAGATACCTTGATCACACCTAGATGTACAAAGATCCCTTTATGTGGTTCTTATTTTTCTGATTTTATCAGAGATTTGTGAAAGTTTGTGTGGGGCAAATTGCAGTATTTCCAGAATCCCCCGCCTGGCCTGAGTCCATGTACATATTAATAGGGGTTTCTTCCAGCAGCCTCTGGGGAGAGAGAGGCTGTTCTCTCCTCCCCTCTGCTGCATAATTGATCTGGTGCCTGTCAGTTGCTGGGGATCTGCCCGTGGACTTCCTCCTGGAAGGCGGGGGTGGGGAGGCGAGTGTGCCCCCAGACGGGAGACTAAGAGTGGCGGCTAGAGGGGATGATGGAGCCAGATGATTGAGTTTCTCCCAATCTAGCTTTTTTCCCTTGACTGATTGCGGACACACTGGTTTATTCACCCAGGGCTGGGAACACGTTTCCTCCAGAGCTACAGTTCATCAGAGAAACGACCACTGGTTTAGAGCATTCTGGAAGCTCTCCCCAATCTCACAGCTACTCTCTGTGCTGATCTCTATCATGTGCGTATGATTCCATTTGAGTCTTACCATAACTTGTTTATGCAAAGGAAGAATCGAAGATGCAGGAAAATTAAGAAACAATGAAACAACATTACATAGCCCATGAAGCTGGGAGTCTGTGTTCCGATCCAGGCGTATTCAACCCCAGCAGTTAGAGTCTGTCACCCACCTGTCTCTCCCTCCATCCCAGTAACTCAGTTAGTGAAATGGCTGATGTATTTGTTTGAAGAAAAAGAGAAAAATGATGCCAAATGCTATACCTTCAGATCATCTAGGTTTGATGGGAGTGGGCCTGGTTTGAGAGAAGAGACACCAGTTTGTCCAGAAAAGCTGTTTTTGACAGGAGACAAAGAGGTATTGCTCAGTGCTGTTGAAGAAGAGTTTGGATTTCTGACCATCTGTTCACTTGGTTCCCTGCAAAACAAACAATGAAGAGGCACTCAAAACATGGTCAGATATATATATGGGGGTGGGCTACTATGATTTATAACAAGAAATGTATATTTGGTCTTCATCCCGGTTTCTGGCACAGAGCTCCTAAAACACTTGGAATTTCTTAAGACAGCCACTGAAGTGTCTCTTTTTTTGTGAATGAGGTCACTTTCGGACCCCACCTAAGGCTGGGGGCTGGTTGCCAGGGGAACCAACCCTGTGATTAGAGGTTGGAACTTTCAGTCCCACCTCCTGACCTCCAAGGAGGGGAGAGGGGCTGGAGGTTGAATTCAGTCCCCAGTGGTCAATCAGCCACACCCACCCAATGAAGCCTCCATAAAAACCGAAAAAGACAGGGCTCAGAGAACTTCTGGTTGGTGAACACATAGAGATCTGGGGAGAGTGGCTTGCTGGGACATGGCTTTGAAGCTCCGTGACCTTTCCCCACACCTTGCCCTGTGCATCTTTTCTATCTGGCTGTTCCTGAGTTACATCTTTTCATGATAAACTGATAATCTGGTAAGCAAAATGTTTCTCCAAGTTCTGTTAGCCACTCTTGCAAATTAATTGAACCCAAGAGGAGGTGAAGGGAACCTCCTATCTATAGCTGGTCAGTCAGAAGCCCAGGTGACAACTTCTAGACCTGGAATTGGTATCTGAAGAGGGGGATGGAGGGGTAGACTTGTGGGACCGAGCCCTCAACCTGTGGGATCTAATGCTATCTTCAGATGGATAGTGTCAGAATTGAGTTGAATTGTAGGACCCCCAGCTGGTGTCTGAGAATTGCTTGGGAATGTAGAAAACCCCTCCCCATATGTTGGAATTAGGTGACCAGAACCGTTAGGGGGTAACTTGCACTTAGATCAGATCACAATCTCATTGCCTATGAGGATCAGGCAAGTAAAATAGCAGCAGAAGGGTCAGGGTGAGGAACATGGCAGTGCAATCTAGATGGCAAGTGACAAGTGACACTCAAGCTAACTTTTGGGTACAGGAGGGAGGGGTGGAGACTGTGGCAAATGGTAGAGTGCATATCCATTTATGATTCAGCAGATATTCTATCCTTCAGAAGCAGGAGCACCCCACATGAAGTTTGATTATACTTGGCATTCAGCCTAATTGCCTGCACAGCCGAAGCTGAGCAGAGACAAGTGAAACCCACATCCAACAGGTGACCTGGCAAGAAGTCACACCTCTGGGGCTCAAGAGTTAATCTCTGAGGCCGCTACTCAGTGGCTCAGCTCTGTTGCTTCCTAAAGCACAAGTGCCAAGCCAACTCATTAGAAACGGAACCCGTGTGGGAATCACTCACCACCCCAGCATGCATTCTTCATGGTTTCTCTCTCTGTTGAACAATTCAATCTTTCCCTTTCCCCAAAGAGGCCTCTTCTCATACTTGCTCCCTCCTGGCTTCATGTTCCTGAAAAGCTGTGCGTGGTTCCAAAACAGCACCGCGCAGCACACCCAGTGAGGTCCCCCAGGGCTGCCGGACTTACTGGAGCTGAGCGTGGGGGGCGTAGCTGCCGCGGAGATGAGGCTGCTGCCGGCTGAGTATCTGGAGCTGCAGGAACAGCTGTTGCTGCTGAAGCAGCCGCGCGTAGGCTGAGTCCATGGGCGGCGGGGACTTCTCCGCCTTCTGGTCTGGGGGAATGTATTGGTGGTACTTGAGCTTCTTCACCTTTGGCTTTGGATCCTTGGGCTTTTTGTGGCGGTTCTTACTGTCGCTCAAGGACTTAGACTGCAAAGGGGGTGGGGAAATGGCACATGCTTTAGGTGATGAATGGGAATGACTCGGCAACAAAGACATATTGCAAGAAGGTTTGGCCTGATGGGCATTCTTGAATCCCAGAAATACAGTACAGCCAAGGTACAATGCACTGAGAGATCCTGGGGGCATTAAGGTTTCTAATGGACCAATCTACTGCCAGTGCATGTATGCTGGAAGGACGCTCCTCAGGCTGGGAATCCTGAACCTTCGATGTGCCTCCAGGAGAATTTTCCTCCCTGCGTATAGTGAGATGTAAGCCTGAATTTCACGAGGGCACTTTCCCAGCCTAAAACTGATCGATAGCCTAATAAAGGATACATTCTGATCTTGGGATGGATTTATAGGAACATTCTTTCATATGTACACATGAAATCAATCACCCTTAGTTAAGCACTCAGTAAGCTGATCTATTAATAATATAAAGTTAGATGAAATTAAGCTTGTCTTGGAAAACCCAGAATGGGAATTTCTGTTGCTCATGCCAAAAAAACTAAGACTTCCCCTCCCACCACCACCCAAATACTGATATAAGACCAGGACATGGCACCCTGTGAAATACTGATACTTAACTAGCTATGGGAAGGGTTTAACCACCCACTGGAACCCTTTCAGAAGTTACCCATCATAGCACATGATTTGGACCCAAGGAAAGGAGTAAGGGTACAGGCTGGGAAGTTAAGACAAATTTCTGAATGTGGTACAATTATGTTACTACACCTCATTATCTAACTTACAAGTTGGGGGCAATATTCTTTGCTTTCTTTCTCAGGGATCAGTAGAAGCAAGACAAAAGTGAAGATTGAATAATAACAGGTCTTAGAGGACAGTGTGCTTATATCTATCTGCTCCTGAAGTCAAGAGGCCCCCATGTAGCAGGAACAATGGGTCTATACTGTAACCAGCTAAAAAAATACAAATTTCAAACCCTGACTTTATTACAGAAGGTAGAAATTAAAACACAAATGTGATGAGAGTTTCTGGAGGATTTGAGGAAAAAGTTGGAGGGAAATTGTGGTACCAGCAGTGTCCAGAAGAGGGGGCTCCGGAACAGCTGGCAGGCACATGGCGACTGGGCAGCTTTCCTGTGCAACCACAACACACACATCAGAGGGGGACCTATCCAAAGGAGCCTACGACTTGCATTTCTCTAACTCAGCCCATCCCACCACCAAAGCCTCTTTTGTGTTTTCTTAAGGAGATTTCTTCTTGGAAATGAATAAATAATGAGAACTAGTTTTCCCATGTGCTTGGTGGCAGGCTCTATTGCTTTCTGCTCATTATTCGGTTAGCATTAATCAGTCTTCTGTAGTTGGGAGAATTTCTGCAGGGCTCCTGCAGTCAGCTCTGCCTGCTTTGCTCCAGCTCAGCTTCTGGGGGTTGCCTTGCCGGCAGGAGCTGCAGCCCTAGGCCTAGCGATTAAGTGGGTTAAGGATATTTTTCTCCACGCTGCCTTAGTACAGGGATGTGGAACATTCTAGAAGGTACTAAAATTGGATCCATTTTCTCTGGATAGTGCAAAGACTACTGAATCTATGGATAGTGCAAAGCAAAGACTACTATATCCATGGACTACGTAGTTTAATAATCTTTTTGAGACCAGAAAGTATTAAGGCTGTGGGTTTACTTTTTTGTTTTCTACCTAGAACTGCATGGCCAATAGAAGGGGCTCACATTCATCTTTCTAAAGCAGAGGTAAATACACAATTCAGTGGTTGAAGACTCAGGCATAAATGTGTAAAGCAGGTTAGTGTAATGCGAGGGGGAAGGGGGTGCAGCCGGTGGCTAGAGAATGCATGACTTTCTGAAGGGCTTTGGGTGCAGATCTGCACACACACTGGGCCTGCCACACAGCATGCCACCCAGGAGCCTCCAATCAGCTGGCACGTCCTGCCCTGCAGGGTGAAGTCCAAACTCTAGTCTGCCAAAGACAGTTCACCCTCCTGCCTAGGCTCCCGTCCCCAGCAGCTCACCCCTCCAGCCTCTTTTCCTTGCAATTTTCTGCTGTCTGCAATTCACATCTCCACATAACATCTGGCTGCAGCTCATCCTTTGAGTCCAGCCCAAACCCCAGCTCACTTGGGAAGCCTCTCCTAACCCCCACTGTTGTCTCCCATCTGTAGGTCTCATATGGCATGCTGGGGCTTCCTGGTGATGGTCATGGCCCTGCACATCCTGCTGACAAGGTGAGGCAGACTAGAATCCAGCCCCTGCTCTCCTTCCTAGGCTGCTGGCACTGACCGGGTGCTGGGGCCACCTGGGCAAGGGAAGCTCTTTTTGCAGTGTGGTAAAATACAAGTGATGTAAAAATCACCATAGCAACCGTTAAAGTACAAAATTTAGTGGCAGTTAGCACATTTGCAATTATTGTACAAGCTTCAGTATTTTTTAATTCCAGAACATTTTCATCACTGCAAAAGGAAACCCCATACCCAATAAACAGTCACTCCCCATTCCCTCTTTCGTAAGGCCCCTGAAGACCATTAATCTCTTTATTTCTATGGATTTGCCTATTAAAGATACTTCATATAAATGGAACCATGCAATACATGGCCTTTTGTGTCTGGCTTCTTTCAAGAGCATATTTTCAAGGTTCATTCAGATTGTAGCACATATCAGGATGTCATTCCTCTTTGTGGCTGAATAATATTCCATTTGTATGGCTGTGTCCCATGTTTATCGACTCTTCAGTTGATGGACATTTGGTTAGTTCCAACTATTGACTATGGTGAATAGCACTGCTATGAATATTCATGGACAAGTTTCTGTTTGAATACCTGTTTCAATTCTTTTGGACATATTCATAGGAGTGGAATTACTGCATTGTATAGGAATTCAATACATAATTTATTGAGAAACCACCACAGTTTCCACAGTGGTTGCACCATTCTACATTTCCACCAGCAATGTCTCAGAGTTCCAATCTCCACATTTTCATTAACACTTACTTTTCATTTTTTTTTATTCTAGTCATTCTGCTAAGTGTGAAATGGTATTTTGATGTGGTTTTGAGTTGCATGTCCCTGATGACTAATGACATTGAGCACATTTTCATGTGCTTGTTGGCCATTTCTTCATCTTTGGAGAAATGTCTACTCAAGGCATCTAAGGCATATTTTTCTTCATCGCTCAAAACACATGCATTCATGGTGACCATGGTACCCAACTAGACTATGGAGGAATCATGGTTTAATTAACTTTGGTACACACCCTCATGGAGCCTGCATTGAGAACACCTTTGCTTACCTGGGGTTTTACAGCTTTCAGAGTATTCTTGTGTATTCTCTCTTTGCCTCATACAGACCCTATAAAGCTAGTAGGGCAGAGGTGTTTTTCCCTAGCTCAGTTGCCTCCTTCTTTGAGAAGGCCCTCTCGTATCCCCTTAGTTTACAGATGATGGCTATTTAACACTGAGAACATAGGTACTGACCAAGCAGAAGGGATGTTGGCTCTTACATAAACAACCAGTCCTGCTGGATCAGCTGGGAATCAACCTGTGCTTCACGGAACCTGACCTGTCCTTCTTCCAGACCAACTGCCATGTTCCCTTGGTACAGTGCAGCTGAAGCCTTTGCTAATTTGAATTATGCAAAACTTAAGTACTTTGGTAGAAATGTTAATAAAATTTCTCTCTGTACACCCACTGGAGACAATGTGAACCCTCTTCTCCCTCCAGCTACGATGAACAGAATTCAGCCGCAGTCACATCATCTCAAAGCCTCGGGAAGGAGGAACTGGAAGCAGGTTTAAGCCATTGCAGTTTGGCTGGGGGGCTTCACTGAGAACTGAAACACCTCCTGTCCATCTTAGGACATGATATCCACTTTTGCGTCTATCAAGTGGAGTGGCCGTTGCTTTAACATTGATTCTTATTCAATTTACAATCATTTAAAACAATATGTCATAAGAGTCATCTCAGCATCAAGGGGTGGCCCTAGAGCTGAGAAACATGCTTCCATATCAATTGTAAGTTCTTTGGCATAAAAGATAACAAAGAAGGCCAAAGGACTGCAAGCAAGTTCATTGAGGAGAGCACATTCTGTGAACAATTAGATAGAACACTGAGGAACTATGAAATAAAATATATGCCTTACTGCTTATAGTAATGTGCCTGCTGCAAACATAACCCTTCCCTTTATCTTTATTTCCACAGGGAGACTGGCTTGAATGATAGAGGTTTCACCTTATGCAAGGCCTCCGGGTCTGCTTCCCTTCCATAAGATTCAGCTCTGCCATACCTATTTTATGTCACTTATGGTTCCTGAGTGCATTACAATCAGCTGTCTATCTCTAGGATGAGCTTAGGAAGTCTTTTAAGTCAGGAACCTGCTCACTGATCTGTGATTCCAAAGAAATGCAAACACAGGTTTCTCCTCTGTAGGGAAGGCCCATGCTCAGCTGCACAGATCAGAGAATCTCTGTGGATGGCCCATTGTTCAACTCCTGTCTCACGATGTTCCTAGAGGACTGAAACTATACACGGGTCTGTGGGACTCTTCTCATGCTGTCATCCCTAACTCAGAAAGCTCTGCCCTGAGCTGGTCCTGGGAGCATGTGCGCAGCAGGCTCCTGGAGGTCGACCCATCCATACCTTTACAGCAGCATGTACGGGGAGCGCGGCGCTGAGGGCAACGAGCTCCTGCTTCCCCCTGTCTGACTGGTTGCCAGGCTGTGAGGCTGAGTCAGTCCTGTCATGTTCTGAGCCAGAAGTAGGATCCTGAAATCCAAATTTTAGCATTATTGGGGTGCAGAATAAGAACTATGATGTAGAAGGGTTAAAGTAGACCCCTCACTCCTAGCTTCATATCTAAGTATATATAGAACACTTCCTCCAGGGAAAGGGGTTGGGCATATGATTTGTCAACAAAGTGAGGACACTTCTGGGACATAAAGGGGTCATTTTTAATAATTATTTCAGAAGACAGGTATAGAACTGGCCTGTTCTAGACTAACTGGGCCATCTGGCTACCCTGTGAGGGCTCCACCTGTCTGTAGTGAGGCCCACCTGCTGGACATGATAATGGGGTTGAAAAAGAAAGAAAGGTGGGGTGGGTGTAGGAAATTTAGGGGAAAGTAGGGCAATAAAAAAAACTAGATGAAGGTGTTAGCAGATGGAGGGCAAGTGTATGAATCTGTATATATATATATATGTATGTGTGCAAGTGTGTATATGTTTATATGTATAGTTCATGTGTGCACATGTGTACGTGTGTCTGGGTCTATGTATATATATGTGTGCGTGTGCATGAGTATGCATAAGTGTCTATGTTGGTGTATGTGTGTATACATATATAAATGTATCATTTGGCATACACATGTATTCTGTGAATATGTACTTGGTCTGTGTGTCTATGTAACTGTACATATGTATGTAAGTATGCATATGTATCTGTGTGTGGATGTATTCTGCATATATGTGCATGTGTCTGTGTGTATATGTAACTGTATCTGTGCATGTGCGTCTGTGTGCATATGTATATGTATGTGTGTACATGTGTCTGTGTGCATATGTGCATGTGTTCTGAAAGTAGACCCCTCACTCCTAGCTTCATATCTAAGTATATATAGACCACTTCCTCCAGGGAAAGGGGTTGGGCATATGATTTGTCAACAAAGTGAGGACACTTCTGGGACATAAAGGGGTCATTTTTAATAATTATTTCAGAAGACAGGTATAGAACTGGCCTGTTCTAGACTAACTGGGCCATCTGGCTACCCTGTGAGGGCTCCACCTGTCTGTAGTGAGGCCCACCTGCTGGACATGATAATGGGGTTGAAAAAGAAAGAAAGGTGGGGTGGGTGTAGGAAATTTAGGGGAAAGTAGGGCAATAAAAAAAACTAGATGAAGGTGTTAGCAGATGGAGGGCAAGTGTATGAATCTGTATATATATATATATGTATGTGTGCAAGTGTGTATATGTTTATATGTATAGTTCATGTGTGCACATGTGTACGTGTGTCTGGGTCTATGTATATATATGTGTGCGTGTGCATGAGTATGCATAAGTGTCTATGTTGGTGTATGTGTGTATACATATATAAATGTATCATTTGGCATACACATGTATTCTGTGAATATGTACTTGGTCTGTGTGTCTATGTAACTGTACATATGTATGTAAGTATGCATATGTATCTGTGTGTGGATGTATTCTGCATATATGTGCATGTGTCTGTGTGTATATGTAACTGTATCTGTGCATGTGCGTCTGTGTGCATATGTATATGTATGTGTGTACATGTGTCTGTGTGCATATGTGCATGTGTTCTGTGCATGTGTCTCTGTGTAATATGTATGTGTGTTTCTGCATGTGTCTGTGTGTATATATGTATGTCCTTATATATTTGTATATATGCACATGTATGCATATGTAGGTATGTGTGTCAATATGTGTGTGAGTGTAATGTCATGACAACCTTTAGGAGAGGCATGTTTCTGTATGTAGAAGACTTGGAAAAGGGGAAATTATCTTCTCTCCCTTTCCTACATTCCTGTGCTGTGACGGTGGCAAAAAGGGACAGCGCTGCTCCTGATGTGGCCCTGGCACTTCTCGGTGCTGCCCTGAGGCCTTTCCCCTCGGAGCCTCCGCGCCCTTGTCTATTAAGCGGGGCCGCTGGGTGGGGTGACATCACAGAGCTGCATCTGGCCCGCACTGCTCGGGGCGTCAGGGCATGTTCCCTGCTGCCCATTGCGTGAGGTTAGCAGAAAGGAACTTGCCTTCTCCTCAATCCATTCTTAAATCAGAAGCTAAGGAATTTACCATCACAATAATAGATACAAATGGTCTGATACACTGTTTGATGTTGTCATAGAAGTTTGTTGGCAATGACGAGCAGCAGCATGTTGGGGAAGGAAAGATGCTTTGGTTATAAACTCTTGTATACGTGTGACTATTCCAGCTCTGCATTTCACGCTTGCCCCGCTCCCTAACTCCGTATTTTCTCCTTGGCAGACTTAGCCCTGCCCCAGAGTGAGGAATGGTATGAGAACCAGCAGCCACCAGAGCGGTTTGGGGGTGATAAGTGCCAACACTGCTCCTGCTATCCGTAGGGTGCCTTACGATGTAAAACTGATTTTTAAACATAATAACAAATTTCAATCCACTGAATCACTGCTGTGAGGCCAGGAGGAGTAGATCTTTGACGGGAGAGGAGGGCCTGAAGGGTTCTCTCCAAGCCGGTGTGAGGCAGGAGCGGGCTGGGGCCTCACGCCAGGCCGCCACGCTTGTTCTCGCGCCCCCTGCGTGCGGGCCCGCTGCGCCGCTCTTGGGGCCGGTGCCTGCTGCGGAGCGAGGCTGAGGAGGGCTGTCCTCAGGCCCGTGGTGGCTCCTGGACGGGCGGCTACTCAGCCTCCCGGACTCCGGCTCCTCCTCTGTCGGGACCGCGTCCACGTGGCCCGCCCGGAGGGGCCCGCGACATCCCAGAGGAGACGCTCACGTGTTCCCGGCAGAGTGAGCTCTTGACTCATGACAGTAGCCATTCATAATTAGCATTGTTCTTTACAAATGTGCTTTTAACAGGACTGGCAGTGTACGTCCCTCACACCTCGACAGCTGGTGGATTGGTCCAGGAAGAGGTGAGTGCCATTTCTGCGTGGGGACAGGAAGCGGACCTCGTGGTGGTCTGGAGGTAAACCCCGCCAACCGCGGACCAGCTCGGGCCTCCCTGCACTGCAGCCAGTCAGCACTTCCTGCTGCCCGTGCCCCCAGGATCGGGGCAGAAACAGACTGTGGGCTGGAAGCCACTGCTGCTCTGGCACATTCTGTCCAGGAGGTTGTTGGTAGTATCTAATCTCAGCGAGCCTCATTTTTACCTTGTCTATAAAAATGAAGGTAAAAACTATCTGCTTGGCAAAGTAAATGCTTAAAACCAGTCAAAGGGTAGAGTTCTGAGATTCACTTTCAGTGCTTTCTAGAGGCCTTGGATGGGGCAGGTGAGGACAGGCTAAGGGGGTGTGCTTTCAAGAGATGTCTCCGTGCCTCTAAGCCAAACTGACCGTGGCATTGTTGATTTTAAGACTGTGAAGGGATGACAGGCTGAGGTGTGGTCTGTTTACCTGGATTGTCCCCAGAGCACCTGTCGCAGGGGTCTCTGTCGCTTTAGTGTCTGGGGGGGATCCCGCCGAGCTGTGGGGGTCTTCACCTCGAGCCTGATCTGGAGAAAGCCCATCACTGCTGCTGTCCTCCTCAAAGGCAAATGCATCTGCTGATTTGGAGAGACTCACCTGGTTACCTGAGGGAGTGAAAGAAGTCCGAGCACTGGGTCAGTGGCTTAGGTGCCTCAAAGGGCTTTTGAGAAAGGCTTCAGTGTGTCAGGCCTATTAGGAACACAAGTCTATCTCCATAGGTCTGTTTCCAGTTCAAGGTCAGAGTGAAGGTATTTTAAGTTATTTGGTTTCTCATCTATTTACTCCACATGGGAACTTGTGTTTATAAAGGTGATGGGATTGGCAGGGAAGAATAAGTGATACATTAAAGGTCTATCATCACTTGTTCAACTTTATTTTCAGGTTTATCCATTCCTGACACTTCCTATATGAACCTGTATCTTTTTGAAACATCAGGGAAGATGAAGGAAAGAAAATGGGCCTCTGGATACAAAATGAGGAGAAAGAGAGATGCGGTTGGAGAATGCTCTCCTCTCTCCTCTGGTTTTATGATGAAATATATAATGGACAAGACAGTGTGTCATTTCCATCGTGTTCAGATATAAAGCAGGGCACACAGCACAAAATGTTTCTGCAAACTTTGCTATTAAGGATCAGCTAAGACCAGCTACTAAGTTTAAATTCCTAAATGTCAGAATTAGCTAATGGCACCAGAGTGTCTCAAAGCCCCATTCAACAAATGCATATCCATGTATAAAAGCCATAAAGGTGTCTCAGAAACTTTTCTTCTTATTATTTGGATTTTCTTTTTATTCCTCATATCTTTGTGTCTATTTTGGAAATCCTCAACCATTCACCCATGCAGAGGTTCCTCCTCTGCAGCTTACTTGAGCTTTGGAGGGAAAGAGTACATCAGCTTGGGAGTGGGGTTATCAGGCAGATGGGACTGTAATGACGTCCTTATATGTCCCGAATGTTTTTCAATTGCCAAATTTCATCTGGTTTATTATCCAAACTGCACAGTACAAAATGTGCTGAGGCCACATAGCTCTTCTGACCCGATTCCAGACACAGCTCTTCTAAAGGAATTTTGGTATTATCAGAAGTTTTCCAGCCCGGTATTCTGCAGTCACACTGACAAGAACTTCTGACTCTGCTTTGTGCAGATAAGACAGAGGAGCTCTCACCATGGAGACTGGAAAGGTAGCCTGGAGCTGGAAGTAATGGAACAAATGTGGTTTGAGGCTTGTCATCGCCACTGCTGCTGGCATCTGTCATGGACTCTGACTCAGACATCCGAGTGTCAAATCAGGAAAGAGGCCAGACAAGGACGGGGCAGGTGGCAACCCCAGCTGCCGGCCCCTGGGGGATCCCACTCACCCGGAAGGACTTGGGACCAGTTTTGCTGCTCCAGGGCTTCCGGGATTGTTGATAAAAGTCACTATTGCTTTTCTATGATTATAAAAGTAATTTATATTTATGAAAATGTATACCATGCAAAAATGCCCAATGTACATAATGACCTACTTCCTGCTAATGACACGTTGCCTCTTCTAGATTTAATTCTATACACGTCGCAAGACTTTTTGGAAACTTGCTTTTTTCAGTGTTCGGTGTTTCTTGGAGACCTTGCCATGTGAGCACCCAGAGATCCTCCTCAGTCTTAAAATTTGTTTTAGTAATAGCTACATGGTATTCCATTTTATCAATGGGAACTTTCATTTTCCAACTTTTATTTTCAGAGGTGCACTTTTTTTAACGATACAAAATTTGAAATGATAGAGAAGCACAGAGAATAGTATTATAGAAAATTAGAGAGAATAATATATAATAATGTGTCACCTAACATAAACAAATGGTAGCCTTTTCTATGTATCAGAAACTTCTTTTCTAAGAGCGGAGTTCTGTTGGGTGTTTGGGGGCAAATGCCCACTTTTGTTGGAGATCAGGGGTCACTCAAACTCCTCCACACCCCACAGCCTCCCTAAGACAGTGCTGAGGTCTGAAACACCTCCCTCTCTTTTTAGGAGTCCAGAGTTAGCTCACAGCACCCCTTTCCTCACAGCAAACCCTGGCCTCTGCAAATAGACCACTATTTGTCATTTTCATGCAATGTGAAGCATTTATATGCCATTTGTCCTTTCTCGAGGACACCATTTGCCTGAGATCTGCCCAGGAAGATCCTTCCAGTTGCCTCCATGAATATGCTTCCATTGTAAACTGAACCTGTGAGTTTCTTTACTTTAGAAACCGCATTTTCACTGAACTGTCCAGTCCTACTTTTGTTTGTGTTAAGGCTTTGTCCCTGTTAAAAGGATTACTTGTGTGACTGAAGGCCAGGTGGGCATGGCAGTGGGGGTTAAACCTTCTGCACCCCAGAAATCACAGGATTTCGTTGGGATCTGCTTGGCACATACGCTGTGCCAGCACCAGTCCAGTTCTCAGAGAGCCGCGTACGTAACTGTACCAGTCAGTGTTTTCCACCAAAAGGACCCTCCATCTGAGAGCTTTACTATCTTACATTCCCTCTCCCCTTTCTTTGGTCTAGGTGGGTACAGATCATCTCTGTGTGGCCTTATCCTTCATGGGACAAAGACTTCCCCATCCCACCCAGCCCCTGCCACCTCCACCCACACCCGCACCCACACAGAGGATCATAACCGAAATATGGGCGCCTCAGAGGGAACTGACCAAACCACAAAGTTGCCCAGGGGTTCTAACATGTGAGCAGAAGTGTTATAAGGTGAGGGTCAGGGAGGAGGAGAGGGTTTCTCTTCTTATCCCCCCACAACCCCACTTCCCTGTTTCAAGCGGAGTGATAACAAGTGGTAAAACAGTAGTTTGCATCAGTAGTTCACTTAATAGTGGCAGCAATAACAGAAATAATCACTTTTGTGAGGCCTCATAAGGGTCTGGAAGGTCAGGGGAGGGGATCTCACCTCTGTTTTATGGGTGAAGAAGCCTCAGGCTCCAGGCTCTCACTTTTATAGGGACTGAGCTGAGACTGAGGCCAGCTGTCACACTCTCAAAGCCACCAGCAGAAGGGGTGGCAAAATCATGACCCTCCCTGGCAGCCGTCAGGTGACATGCCCTTGAAGGAACTGAATGACTGAGAGGGTTGAGAGGGGGCAGCAGAGAAAATGGACAATGTGTCTCCATTTTCTACACACATGGACTAAGTTTATCTCCATTACCTGAGATTTTGAGGTCTGAGGGACTGGAGATCAGGGGTCCAGACTGGAGAACAAAGAAGGGGGATTCTGGGAAGGGCAGTCACAGTGATCTCACTGGAACTTCACCCAGAAGGGGGCTGGGAGGATGGTGGCAGATAGGCAGGCCATTACCACGTGGACAGCTGCCATTGGGTGACCTCAGGTGGAGCCCCTAGGATGGCGTGGCAAAGTCTAGAAGGAGTAGGCAACCAAGCTCACTTCCCCAGTTATCTTGTTCACTTCCAGCCTTCACGCTTTAAGAGAAGCAGAGACAAGTGGAAGCACGATGGAACATGATGGGGTGAAGAGCGGGAAGACTGTGGAAAGCTGGCTAGCCATGTATCTCCACGGGACACAGTCAGAGAATCTATCAAGGACCAGGCTCGGGTGAATGCTGTGGTCAGCAGTGGGCAGTCGTCCGAGAGGACTCCTGGAGGAGGCTGGATCGAATTGAGCCTGAAATGACAGTCAGCTGTGGACAGGACCACAGAAGGCAGGCAGATGTCAATGACGGGAGAATGCCAGGGAGGCTAATAGAATGGCGATTGGCTGAGTTGGGGTGGGAAGGGTGAGGAAGACATCCCCCAGGTCAGAGACAGGATCCTTTGGGGAGCCAATCCCTGGAGAGAGGCAGCTTCTAGGAGCCTAATTTATCAAGTGACATTAATCATTTAAAGAGGTTCATATGCTTGAGTCAGCAAAGAAGCCATGTATACACACAACCATAAACATAAAAATGCCCCATGTACACAGAACCATAAACACAGAGAGGCCCCGTGTACATGCAACCATGTACAGAGTGGTTATTTACACCTGGATGAACAAACAGGTGAGGTCCAGGACCACAAATGTGACTCCTGTCTGGTCTCTAAAAAGCCTGATGTGCCAGGTCAGAAATCACCCACAGACACAAGTGGGGACCACTTAGCGGTGGCTCAGGCCAAAAGTCCCACCTGGGGGCTTGCCAATCACCACTCCCTCAGGGCTGCAAGTGGTTTGGATTTGCGACTCCCAGGGCAGATGAGCCAAGGGAAGAGGCCCCCCATGGCTCCACAGTCAGCTGAGCTTCTCGGGGTGAGAACCCAACAGCTGAGTGGCCCCCGAGAGCAAATGGCAGTGGCTTCCTTTTGAGATGATATATGTGGATCATTTCTTGGTCCTACCACTGCACTGTAGTATGGCTTTTGGCAAGCTACTTAACCTCCTAGAGGCTCAGTTTCTCCATCCCTAAAATGGGTATCAAAATGGTGGTTACCACTCAGAGTTTTGCATATTAAAATAACAGATGTAAAGCACTTAGCTCAGTCCCTGATGTGCAAGTGTTCAGAATTCCCAGCTGCAGTTATTGTTTTCGTTAGGAGCACCTGCTTGTCTCAAGTTTACTGCGATCGAAACAAAAGACCACCCAAGAGGCAGTTTATCCTGTGGCCAGCTTTGCAAAGTTCAGCATCACTCCAGAGCCAGGAAAACTGGTTTGTCTGGAGCGATTCATTCTGGGCAAGCAGAGACAGACCTTCCCCAGAGCAGGAGTGTCCCTGGACTTCCTCTCCTTCCTGGTTCAGACCAGGCTCCTGTGGACAGGGACAAAGGTCACGCCTTATCTGGCTGCCTCTGGAACAAGCGAGTCTATCAGCTTCATGTTGGGACCCTGGGCCTCTACTCCCATCTCCCACGGCTCACAGCTTACTGGGAGCTGTTGGAGTGCTGTGCACTGGCTATTGTCCCTGTAGACATGTCAGGCAGTGTGATGACAGGGACCTGCTTTGGGAAGCCCTGACATCATCCCCCTGCTATGCCCACAGGGCTGGCTTTGGGCATTAGCCCCTTGGGGATCTTACCCTGGCGACACAGAGTTTCCCTTTCCCTCTTGGAAGTGATGAGAGAATGACTCAATTGTACTTCCCTGTGCATAA